GTTCAGCATCTCCCCCAAGAGATGCAAATTGCTGGATGCAAATTGCTGTCATGACCTATGAGTCACCGGCACCAGAGTGTGCAAACATGTAATCCTTAATCTCCCCTAAGAGATGCAAATTACTGTCATTTGACAAGGTCCTGGTAAATGAAGGAGTTTCTGGARAATGCTGGGAGTCCTAGTGTTATTTGTTGTTCTGGGTGAAACAGAATTTCTTGTCTGTCTGTTGTTTTCTACACTTCTGTAAACAGAAAATTAGAAACTTAAATATCTGAACATGTTTTTATTATCTGACATCTGTGTAAAGTTGTTTAAATTGTGTGTTTCTTCTTGTGTAAAATGTAGGCTAGAAAGGCCCAGGCTGGGAATCAATCCTGCAACCTTCAGCCAACAAAGGTCAGTGTTTCTTCAGAGTACCAATCCTCTGCCTGGTTTGCAGTCTTTGTTGAGCGGTTTTCTACTTGAGACACTTTGACCTGTGAGTACAGCGTCTCCTCCTCCTGACGTCTGCTGCTGTGCACTGAGACAGAGGAAGGTCCAGGTTTCTTCTTGAGGAAGTTCACGTCCTYGTAATGAACATCTTCCTCTGGATTATTGGCGATAACTTGAAGAACAAGATCCTCACCTGTTTGACTCTGTGAAAACATGTCGAGAAACTAATGCATGACCACGAGATAAATAATGCATGACCATGAGTTAATATACACGTAAACACAAGATAAAAACATGTTTCAACAAGTTTGCCACAATATACAAAGATTTACTGTTCACCCCCCCTGAATTGTTTGAGGAGATGAATGTTTGAACCTAAAACACCTAGGAGACATTAGAGAGCTGTCAGATTAACATCTAACATTTTTGAATGGCAGTGACTAAAAAACATCAGATTAAAATCCAGCCGGTAAAACTTAATTGAGRCTCAAGGACGGTAGAAGAAACATGACTTAATGATTATGTACAGAGTAAATGTGAGGCATATGTTGGTGCACAATGAACAAAACATGAAGGTCACAAATGTGTTGTGTCTAATTTGAACTGTTTTACTGACTTTGCTGTGAGATTTTTTGACCATCTGTTACTCACCAAACACAGAGAACCAGGCTGAGGAGCAGAAAGACAACAGTTGTCTTTCTGCAGTTGTTGCCGCCCTTAGCAGCAACAACTGCAATCAAGCATTTTCGATAACTGGCAATGTGTCTTTTACAGCGCTGCAGCGGAATCTTGGCTAGGGTTGGGTAAAATTATATTGTGTGCAATTAATCATCAGAAAAAAAACATTATTATTTTTCAGTACATGTCAATTAATACACTTAATTCCACGCAGACTGACTAGAAATTTCCCCGGTCAGTCTGCTTGATGCCCTTCTCCGCTTCAAATATAACAGATATTTTTTTAAAGTTCTGTAATTTACTTATAACTCCAGTTTTACTTAGTCTATCAACACAATTTTAAATTTAATAGCCTGAAGTCTGTACTTTTCACATAATTTGGAACAGTTTTTTACGGAGAGTGATTTAAATTGGTCATGTGACTAGGATATACAGTCAATCAGGGACTCCAGGGGTCACATTAATCGTTATCTGTTAAATACAATACTTAGTCGTGATTAATATTTTTGCCAATATTCCCCAACCCTAATCTTGGCCCACTCATTTTTGCAGAATTGTTTTAATTCAGCCAGATTCAAGGGTTTCTGAGCA